ATCGAAAAAAAAAAAAAAAAAAAAAAAAGAAGAGTTCAATATTCTTGCCTTAGGTCCATGTCTCTCTCTACTTGAAATGAGAATGGGTGGTTCAACCACAATCCGAATAGTGTTGAGCTCCAAAGAAACATTCGGAATTCATGTGCTGTACTGAGTCCACATTAAGAGATCCCATCATGCTTTATACACACCTTTGTTCTCCTTGAAAAATACATATAAGCCAATTTTGAACAAAGATCCGTGTATGTGATGGGGGTGGGTAGTCTGTATGTGTCTGTGTGTATTTGTGTAAGAAACCCTTACAGAGCTATAATTAATAACTGCAGGCAACCCTTAGGTGGTGCTTGCTACTTGTACTATTCTCTCCCTCTCCTTGCTTCTATCTGTCTGTCTGTCTCTCTCTCTCACACACACACACACACACACACACACACACACACACATACACACCCATTTAGTCCTTACCACAACCCCACAATTTTTTCCCATTTTACAGCTGGGAAAACTAAGGCACAAAGAAAGTCAACAATCAGCCCTAGGTCCCACAGTTGGTCAGTGATATGGAAATTTTTATTCACTAAATTAAATGTCTTGTTTATGTCAAGAATCCAGTGGGTTTGGGTTGCTTTTGGGAGTCATGTTTCTTTTCTAAAAATTTGCAGGCCAGAAGTTTCTGCAAGACTGGGTCAGTTTAGATCATCTAACCAGGTTATCTCTGGAAAAACAACATGACCCAGTATCATCTGGATATCTTCAAGGTATTGCTTATAACAGATGTAGTTTCCTAAGAGAACCTTAGGTTGCACTGATTGAGAATGTAAATGAATAACTATAGGCAAAAATAGTCCAGTGTTAGGAATATGTTAGGCATCAACTATTTCCTTCTTAGGATTCTTTATTTCACTCTGAATATACGAAAGTACTGGCTGGGTTTTATAGCCCCTCATGCCTATTTAAGAGCTGAGAGCATTCAGGATGATTATGGTACATTAAACCTTAGCAGATGGTGAAATGGAATATTGTTCAATTTCCTAAGGTTCCTAAGCAGAAATTCTATAGAAATATGATGTAAACAAATTGCTGCTCCCAGAATTTCTGCTTAGAATATATTAATTACACCCAAATCTCCATTGCTGCAACATCCCAGTTAATTCCTACTTATTTATTATGACCTAGACCAACTATTGGCTTTTATAAAGCTCTGATTCCTGCAGGAAGAGTCATGCCTCTTGTTTCTGTGGTATTTGCATGGATCTCTTTCTGCTCTAATACTTCCTAAATGGATGTCTACGAGAAATCAGACAACAGAGACTCTGTCCTTTTCTTCTGTCCATTCTCAATGCTTGTGAATACCTGATACCTGAATGTCACTGAGTAGTCTTGTTCAAATTCACGAAATAGGGTTTAGTCATTCACCAGATTCTAGTTTTAGCTGAAGAGCTGGATATGTTTCCATGTACAATATGGAAGTTTCATATAATCTTAAAGCTTAGTTGCTTAAGACACGGATAAATAGCAGCCCTTGTCTTAGGAGTCTGTGACTTACCTTACTAGACTTGTGGTCCACATTAAAAGTGGCAATTGCATCCTCTGTTTTTTTCCTCCCAGATTTGGTTATTACATATTCAGCAAGTTTGTTTGCTAAATAGGTCTTTCCAGTACCACTAGGTCCTGAGAGTATAATTCTGTGATGCTCCATCAACAAGTTAAAGTACCTTTGGGTAATTGGTTTAGGAATCAGCGTATCAAAAACAAAACTGTCCAAACTGTTTTCTTCTACTCCTGAAGGGAGAAACAAAGGGAAGAGTGTGGCTTATTGTTCTACATAAGCTTGAAATTAAAATATAGTGTCAACAGGCAACTGGGCTTTGTTAGCCATTGGAATGCAGTCCTTGCAAGATACTTTCCTTGACATTTCGATCCCACGTGTGTTGCTATTTTAAGACAGAAAACATCAGTAATAAGGCAGAGTGAACATCCAAATGAAAGCAGGTTTTTCCTCTTTGCTTAGACCTCCCTTGTCTATTTCATGCTTCTCACTTATGTTTCCACAAAGAGATGGAAGCATTACTATGAATTCTATCATAAAATCCTCCTTCTCTTTGAAGGTGGTAGTTTTGTTAAGAATAGATGTAAAAAATAAAATAAAAAGTATAAAAGTGTGTATGTTCTTCTCTTTTTCTTCCTCTTTCCTCCTTCTCTTTATTTCCCTCTAGCTCTCATCATACATCCCAGCTGTACCGCCCCTTAAGCTTTTGAAGAATATAAATATAATAGGTATTTGGCAAGGAATTAAGAAGGAGAGCAACAGTTTCTCCTTTTACTCACCCAATTACCTTAATCATAAAATCAAATATTGACAAATCCCTCTATTAATCCATAGTTTATATAGATGTGTTCTGACTCTTTAACATATATGAACAAGGAATTATGGATACAAGTATACTTTAGATATTCCATTTGCCTAGAATTAGTCACATTATTCAAAGCAAAGAGAATTTCTCATCCCTGATTCTTAACTTCCATTCTCCACCCCCAGTGGGTACTTATTGGGTATACATATTTTAAAATTAAAGGTAAAAGAATGAATATATTACCTTGGAATATGCAATAAACTTTTTGAATCTCCCCTAAATCTAAGATGATAATGGAGAAAATCTAGAAAATTGAAATTCGCTACATCACATTTGTTTTTCTGAGTCTTGGAGAAACTTCGAAATTACATCTCAAAACTCAAAGAATTTCATTTACTTGGATATTTGTGTTTTTAGTAGGATTTTAGTGTTTTAAATATAAATACAGCTCATATATCAAAATTAGCAAAGTGGTTAACATAGTTCTCAAATATGAAAATTTGAAGGGAAACTGCAAAAAAGAAAAGAAATGTTGGTAAAAAAATACAACTGTGCTTTTCATTTTTATTTTTACCTTTCAGGTTCACAGTGATGATGTTATTATCGCCGACAAGGTATCCACAAGGCAGCAGTTCAGGCACTTCTAGGTTATGGGATCTAATTAAATCTCCTATACAGTAGCTGGCAATGCAGTCAGAGCTCAGGCCAAGGCTAGTGGATGTATCAATTCGGAACACATATTCCTGAAATGGTATATACACAAAAAAGGAAAGTCAAAACAGAGGTCCAACTCCTCTACAAAAAATACAAAACTCATGGGGATGTGAAGCTAGCTATCAAGAATTTTAGAAATGGGTAATATAAGAACAATTAATATCAAACAGCATAAAGAGAGAAAACTTTCCTTAATATTTGAAATGGAAGAGAGGAAAAGCAGATATCTCTATGCCATTAAAGCTAAGGGGAGCATCCAAAATGAAACACATTTGAAAATTAATATCAGGATGTCTTGCACAACTTACCTTAAAGAGACGTCTAATTACACCATCTAAGACATCCCACTTGGTTTTTCCACTGACACCAATGGATCCTATCAAATATGCCTGAGACTTCTGATCCTAAGTAAGAACAAAATAAAACAAGATAAAATCCAACTGTGTGTCTTTTTTTATTATGATATCTTCTACTAAAAAATATTAATATTAGTGGTGATTAACACTAAAATATATATTAAACCTATGGGATCCAGTTTTGAAAAATAAGTTATCCATGGTAGTATGGCATTCACATATTCACAACACAGGTCCCACTTTGAATTTATCAGAAAATTCAATATTTAGAAGAACTTGCCAGGGAATCCTACAGGACTCATTTTGTCAAGCAAAGAACTCCTTTATAATACAAACAAAGGTCCCAAATTTATTGTTTTTGTAGGATGGGATTTTGAGGAATTTCTACATATATTAGAAAAGTAACCAATTCAATTCATAGTCTAACTGAAGCTGTTTTTATGTTGACTGGAATGGTTACATGAGATAGTGATCATGACACCAGTATATATAATTAGACAGTTGATATATCACAATCCTGATTCTAGTCACCAGCTTGCATAGTCCTTAAGAGGTGGTAGAAAAATAACTGAGTCAGGTGTTAGAAGACATGGATTCTACAACACACAACATCTACCATGTAATTAAGAAATGTGATGTTAGTGCAAGTCACTTAGCTGGCTCAGAGCCTCAGTTTCTTCATCTGCAACATTTAACTTTATAAGGGTAAATGATTATCAGCACTATTTAGGTATAACCTGAAGCCAATATCTGCTACAGAAAAAGTTGAGAAACTCACAGCAAACCATTCTTATTTTGTAACAACTGTTATAGACTGAATGTTTGTGTTTGCCCCCGCCCCAGATTCATATATTAAAGCCTCAACCCCCAATTGATGGTATTTGGAAATGGAGCCAGCAGGAGGCAATAAAAGCTAGATTAGGCCATGAGAGTGGGTCTCTCATCATGGGATTAATGGCCTTCTAAGTAGGGGAAGTAGGAGAGAGATCTCTTTCTCTCTCCCCAAGTACGCACACTGAGGAAAGGCCAAGGGAGGACACAGGAAGAAGGCAGTTATCTGCAACCCAAGGAGAGAGCCCTCACCAGGAACCAAATCAGCCAGCACCTTGATCTTGGACTTAATAACTGTGAGAAAATAAATTTCTGTTGTTTAAGCCACCCAATCTATAGTATTTTGTTATGGTAACCCAAGAAGACTAAGACAACTACTTTCCAATGTTCAAAAATATTATCTTTCAGAATTATTTTGAAAAAGAAAACTTGTTTTACAGCGTTATTGTAACTGAGTCAAAATGGACATGCATACAGTGCTTTTAAGCAGCTGCTTTCAAATCAGAGATCATTAGACTATCTAAACTTCACTGAGACTATTACAGTCTTTTACATAAAGACCCACTTGGGAAATTCAGGCACAGATCTGCAGCTCAAGCAGAAAGTTTATGGCATTAGAATTCTTGGAATATATGCTCAGTGTAAAAATTCACAATTGCTAGCTCACTTTTCAAACTTAAATACTTCAATTATCTTAAAATTCTAAAGATTTTTTTGTTTTTCTGTCTGATAAAACATTTTTGTATACTTACAAATTTGTATTTTTGGCCACTGAACTACAATTTCAACTTGAAATAATAGTTTTAATTTCAAGAAGAGGCTAGGGTCAGAATGGTATTGCCAATTTGAAGGCAATATTTGATTCCAGAAAAATTAGAATATTTGCCTTATCATCTAAGACCTTGCTTTAAAATGATACACACAAGTAGCGTCAATGGAATTTGTCATACTGAGTTCAATAAAATATATCTTTCCAGTGTCTAGAAGAGCCATATAACTTATAGTCTCTCCTTTGTACAAAGACTATCTTGGCAGCTCTAGCAACATGTTACTATACATCATAAATATCACCTGCATTTAGTTAGACAAAATGTTAATGTCAAAGAAAGCAATGTGCTTTTTTGGTTTTAGAAATGAGGGTGGCTGACAACCAATACTGTTTTCAGTGAATGAACATGACATACTGAGACACTTTTTTACCTATAGGATGATGTCATTTCTTTCGAGTCCCTAACTTTCATGCTTTTATAATAGATTAGACCAATGCCAAGACAAACACCGCTGATAGTATATTTATGACAAATATTTATTTGATTCATGGTCATTCTCATCTTTTAGTAATAAAGAACTTAAGGTTAAAGAAATACCTTTGCTCGACCGTAGCCCTTGCTTATGGAGACTATAATTTTCACGCTGCGGCCATCTTTATGTCCGGTTGCATCACCAGCATCATCGAGCAAAATATCTACCAAATTTTCAAAGAAACATACACAAACACACACACATACAATAGAGTCACATTAGCTTGGATTTCTTTACTGTCATCGTTTTCTCCCTCATAGTTTTACATCTTCCAATGGGAATATTCAGATTTTCTGCCACCCATTCTAACCTAACTGGTTTGAAAAACCTCAGCTTCCAAGAAGATGAGTGACTGTGTTGGGTTAAAGTTTCCATCTAAGAATTTATTTCTGCTTCCAAAGATCTTCACCCAAGTGTTGGGCACCCATTGCGTTTAGATGAGGAAATAAGGGGTTCCTTTTTTCTATTATGCACAGGTCTGAGTACTACCTGAGTAATAGTCAGTTACCATTATAACCGTGACAAACTGAAAAGCAATCTGAGTTTTCTATCCAACCAAAAACATCCAAGCTCATTACCCATGTGATTATGAATGCAAAGGTGGTGAGACTGACTGTCAACTGGAATGATTTTCAAGCATTTGGCACATTCCCTGCTATATGACTACTCACCTCGTATCTATAATTTTAGGTAATGTTTTGAATTTCAACCATGGCAGAAATATATTATTATATTTATTATTATACTTCCCCGCAGAAATATATTAATTATTGCTTTCCTGTTCTCTTTATGCTTATAGCTTCAAAACCAAAATAATACTTCTAGTAAGCAGCTAAGAGTTACATAAGCATGATAAAGTTAGCTAACCTTTAACCCTCCACCCTTAAAATGTGATTAAAGATTAATTTTCAAAATACATTATATGAGATTAATGTCCAGTTTGGAGAATGATTAAGGCAAACTATCCCACATATATGTTTTCCTTTGACAAGGATGCTATTATGTTTAATATTAAGATAGTTTTCTGGGGACAAAGAAAACTTGGTTACGTGTTGAACAGCACATGTGCCTGGTGACAAGAGGACTCAACTGCTCAAAGTGTAAATTTAGAGAGCCAAGGACTGTGACTGTACCATTATAGAAGCAACAGTTTCATCAAGTGCCTTCTGAAAATAAAATGCTTCTATTATCTTAATAATTAGGAATATGCAATTTTGCAAAGGAAGGAGTTGAAAAAATGCCATAACACCGTAACAATCAAAAGCACATTTAGAGTTTAAGGAATATGGAGTTTTTTTGCTAGAAATTTTTAAATTGTCAAAGACAATCTCCCTTACTGAAATTTATTTATTTTTTTACTAGATTAACATCCTCCCAGTCTCTCACCATTCTTCCTATCCAACTCAAACCTCTTCCTTAGGTGTCATTTTAATTCTCTTCTTGCTCCTTTTCTCAAAAGTTTAAAGTGGCTTATTGTTCACATCTAAATATCTTGTAATTCATGACCAAATTACCTCTTTAGTACTTTGCTCAATTATTCATAACTTCATAAATATTCAAAAATATTTATTTTTAACTAACAGTTTATTAAGCATCACAGAAATCAGGAACTGTGGATTTCCCTGCTGGCGCAGTGGTTAAGAATCTGCCTTCCAATGCAGGGACGTGGGTTGGAGCTCTGGTCTGGGAAGATCTCACATACCGCGAAGCCGCTAAGCCCGTGTGCCATAACTACTGAGTCTGCGCTCTAGAGCCCACCAGCCACAACTACTGAGCCTGCATCCTGGTACTACTGAAGCCCACGTGCCTAGAGCCCGTGCCCCACAACAGCAGAAGCCATCGCAATGAGAAGCCCACGCACCACAACAAAGGGCAGCGCCCAATTGCCGCCAACTAGAGAAATCCCACACACAGCAACCAAGACCCAACGCAGCCAAAAATAAATAAATAAATTTATTAAAAAAAAAAAAAAAAAGAAATCAGGAACTGTGCTGGGCATTGGGAATGAGTACCACGGTGAGAAGGAAGATGAATTCCCTGCTCTTTTGGAGTATACATTCTCAACAAGGTAATCTTGAATGTTTTAAGTGCTTTAGCAAAATGAATACAGTAGTTAAGTCAGGCACTGGAATCATCCAGATCTGGGCTCAAATATTAGCTCTATCACTTACTGGATGCATAATCTTGAAAAATTATCATAATCACTTTCCTAAGTCTTGGGACACAAAAGCGCCAGCTTCATAGGGTTATTGAGAACATAATAGAAAACACTTTTAAAGCACTTTATCCTCCGTGTTTAGTAAGTTTATCTGTTCTAACCATTACTCCTTTTCCCTGTGTATTTATTCTAACTCCTTGTGTTGACAGTGGAAGGAGCACATCATGACTCACTCTGGGTGAGTGAGTCAATGTACACCGCCCCCCCCCACCCCCAGTACATTGATGGGATGATCGCCTGAACAAACAACTCTGAGTAAAAAACAAATAATAGCCAGTTTGAGATAAGGGTTCTCTGTGTTGTTTTATGGAAAATAAGTTAGAGTCCTCTGTCAACATTTTGAAAAAAGATTTGCCATTCTGGTTACAGTCAAGTGAAATTCTGACAAAAACTGAAGGTTTTTCAAGCTTCTGTCTTCACTGGATGTATGGTACATGCACTATTATTTCAGGAACTGGACATTTGTCAATTAGTCTCTCTCCTGCCTACTTCTTTTTTTTAAAAAAAATAATCATGAACTCTAGAAACTTTTTCTATTAAAAAGCCTCAGCATAAAGGCACTTTTGATTTCCAATTTTGAACCCATTAAACAAGAGTGAAGGCAATGAAAATTTGACTTGAAAAGTATCCTAGCGAAGCAATGTCAAGTGATTTACATTCTTCTTGCTAGTTCAGACACAAGTATCACTATTGAAAAATAGTTGAGGAAATAAAATAATATAGGACTAAAAATAAACCATGAAACAGGTAATTATAAAGCACAGTTTTGGAAAAAAAAAAACAGCTCTCCTCACCAAATTGCCCCAAATTCTGAATCACGGCCATCAGTTGGATGGACACAGAAAATGTAAATTTAATTTCTTTGACTTTATATTTATCTTTATGAGTCCTAGTCTTTCCTAGACATTAATTTTGGTTTCATTTTTATATGGCTGTTCTTCCTAAACTACCTTCAGTACTAAATTTGCCTCCTTCAGACCTTATCATATTTCCATAGGCTAAACCAAAATCATGTAACAGGCAGTAAAATCCCACCATTAAGCCATCCTATAAGGTACCAGTCCTTTTCTCTCCTTAGAAGTGAAGCTCCAGGACATAGGCAGGCACCGACTGCCATTAGGTGTGGATCTTACCTCACCTCTCTCAGGTTCATCACCAGCAAGCCAATGTATAGGATGTGACTCAGGACTCTCAGATTCTACACATTTAAAGTTTTTGTTCTTTCTTTTTTCCCATCTTTTGAAGAATGTGGATGATAACACTTCATAGACAATTTACACATTCAAGTTATTACCATATTTCCATAGTTTTATTTTACCTAATGATTTATAAGTTCATTTAATTATGACATCTCTGTGTTTTCTTAGCTACCAATATTTCTTTTACTTGATGTGTATTCTCAAAATTCATTTTCCTTCCCCAGTCCCTGCCAAATGGTATAAACGTTGTTTTCATGAACTTCAGGAAATTCCTACTTGCCTTTTAGTTTCTAGTTACCTTTTATAAGAAGAAAGAAAGTATGCATTTGGGCCATTCATTTTTACACCATGAAGGGCAGATATAATTAGTAGAATTTTAAAAATTCTGACCTTTTAGAAGCAAGAGATATGATTCATTAAAATATAATCAATATCAGCTTGCTGTATTTCTGTTTCTTTTCTTTTTCATTTTCATCTTTATCTTCTTTTTCTATGTTTTGGTGTAACTTAAGGCAAGCCAGGAAGTTTCTCAATTCTATCATGGGATCTAAAATTGCCCAGGAATATATATACATATTATTGGTTTCCAAGCGTCATCTAGTGGCTGTGCTTTGCAATCACTGCAGATCCTCATGTAAATCTTTCCTCAACTAAGTCTTATATACATAGAATGATTCGATGCCATAGGAGCAGTTATACTTTATAACTGAATAGTTCATCAGCTATTAAGACAACATTATGTCATATGATTCTATTTGCAATTGAATAAAACTGTACCCTTGTTCCATCATTAGTACCATTGAATACAATAATAGAATCCAGTGTGTTCTTTTTTTTGTTGAAAATCTAACAGAGCTGCAGTCCGGGTGATGTAGTAGCATTATGTTCTCCCTGGGCCACATCATGCAGGATCATCTAGTCAAATTTAGGAATAGGTCCTGATACACTTGTAAACAGGCTTCGTACACTTAAAACGCTATCAAATTGCATGGGGTTCTGAGTATTATATTCATTAGTACTAACAATCATCACTGAGAATATTACTTTTTCATCCTATTTGTAACCCTGGAGGAAGTACTTCTCAAACACAAGTAATTGTTTTAAAAAATGATATGAAAACCATATCTCTATGTCTTTTTACTCTTTCACACAGAATGTTCTTTTAAAATGATAATGAAGGGGGTTCCCTGGTGGCACAGTGGTTGAGAGTCCACCTGCCAATGCCGGGGACACCGGTTTGAGCCCTGGTCCGGGAGGATCCCACATGCCGCGAAGCGGCTGAGCCTGTGCACCACAACTACTGAGCCTGTGCTCTAGAGCCCATGAGCCACAACTACTGAGCCCGTGTGCCACAACTACTGAGCCTGCGCTCTAGAGCCCGTGCTCTGCAACAAGAGAAGCCACCGCAGTGAGAAGTCCGCGCACCGCAACGAAGAGTAGCCCCTGCTCTCCACAACTAGAGAAAACCCGTGCGCAGCAACGAAGACCCAACGCAGCCAAAAATAAATAAATAAAAGAAATTAAAATGATAATGAAGTAAAATAAATTTATAAGAGGAAAAAGGACTATTTCTGAGAACTAGGCCGTTAACATTTTGAAGAGGGTATGGGTGAGAGCTGCAGCTTGGATAAGGGTCTCCAAATTCGAGGTCTCCGGGCTTGTGAAGTCAGAGGCATGCTTTGATTCAGGCAGGTGTGTGCACAAAATCACCTGAGGTAACAGACTCCGTGATGTTCAAATTGTTCAGAGAGAGTCCTAAGGACTGGCGTGAGGATGAGGAGGAAGTGCTACTTGCGGACTCAGACGGGGGCCGAGCTGGCTTCGCAGCGTTCCCTGTTTCTGCCTTCAGCCGGTCGTTTTCAGCCTTCAGTATTTCAATCTCATTCTGTTGTGAAGATGGAAAATATGAAAAACATAGCGCTAGCTTGATTGAGAAAAGGGTACCAACTCTTTTAACAGGGTTAATCAGTTCGTGTATTAAATAAACCATGTGGTGAGATATTAAATAAACAAACATAAATTATGAAAACAGGATTTCCTTCCAAAGAAGGAAAAGGAATCCCTTTCTCCGTCTCTCACATACACATATTCAGCTATTCACAAATACACACACTAACCAGAATTTTTTATAATTTTAAAAAAATCTATCATATATTTGAGGAGTTTTCCAAATATGACATGGTCTTATGTGAATTAAGAATAACATAATTGAAAAGCTCATACCATTTCTCATTTTAAAAGTAAACATACACACTACTACATATATAAAAATAGATAACCAACAAGGACCTACTGTATAGCACAGGGAACTATACTCAATATTTTGTAATAACCTATAAGGGAAAAGAATCTAAAAAGAATATCTTTTTATATCTATATCAATCTATATACGTATATATATATTCAGTTATATACATATAACTGAATCACTGTGCTGTACACCTGAAACTAATATGACATTGTAAATCAACTAGACTTCAATAAAATAAAAAATTTTTAAAAACTTAAAAAAAAATTTTTAAATGAAAGTAATGTTAAAATCTCATAGAAAATAATGCTGTTTGTAATACTCTAAATTCAGGGAGAGTTGAAAACCACAGTAAAACAAAAGTAACATGAATAAGGTGATTTAAAATTACCACCTCAGGATCCTAACTAACGTCTGAAAAAGTTTCTGTTCCTTCAAAACGGGGCACTAAGCTCATAAGAACAACACAAGCCTATTGATGAATACATCCATTGGCAGATGAATCTGCTCAGCAATGAGCTTTTCCTAGTTCAGTCATCTGTGGTACCAAGTGATTACTGCTTGACCATAATAAAATGAAAACTTAGTCTGAGCACAGACTGATTCTGAATTTAGCCTTCAGATGCTTCCAAAAAATAGAAAAGCTTTACTTCTACAGATGGCATTCTACATCACACTTACTTTCATATTTAGAAAGCTTGTGTTATATTTCTGTTGATTCCTCATTACGTTTGTTTTTCAATAGAAAACAGGTAAAGTCAGATTTCAAAAGAATAGGAAAAAGTTACCATAAGGGTAAATCATGGAAAAGTGAAGAAGCAAGGGCTGTAGTAGTTTCTCTGAAACCTTAGCTCTAGTACAGTGCCTTCAATGGTCCTTGAGTGCAACTGGCCAGTTTGCACTTCCACTTCCAAACCTGGATTTGACAAAATCCTCCATCCAGTATTGAGAAATGAGGTGCAGAGACTGAATAAACAGAGTGCATTTCCACAAAGGATTTAAACATGAGATTTGTTTTTATAATAACTAAGAGAAGAGAATAAGCAGCATTTTAAATCTCTCGTTTGTTCCCTGAAGGTGCTTTCGGACCGACCTGCATCCGGTTCATGGCTTCCCGGATCTGATCGAGATGATGAGCAGAGCTGAGGGCCTCCAGCCGAATATCCGTTAATTTTAATTCCTTTTCTCTGAGCTCACTCTTCAGCTGCAGGATTATCTCTGCCTCAGCCTCTGTGCATTCACAGATCCTGAAGAAAGAAACAAGCACAAAATCAGTGGTTGGGGGAGCCAGAGGATTACGAAAGGCAATGCTTCTTTTAAAAGCTGAACTGCAATATTATCCAGCAGGTACATAGATTATTTTCTGCTGGCAATACCTAGAGAAAAGGAAAAAGAGTTTTACAGACAGTAATACATTCACAGGTTCAAAACTGAAAATAGTAGCCGTCTCTTTTAATCTTTTCTTCCTATTTTCTGAAGTTTAAAAAAATCTATCTTTACTGTATATAAAGTGATCCTCAAAATTCCCTTGTTGCTGATGTTTATGGAGCTGAAAAGTCATAATATTACTACATCTCATTCTACCATTTTTCAAGGGACTCGAGCCTCTATTTGCAACATGAAATTTGTTTAAAGCAAAGTTATTATGTCCTTAAAATGTTGATTTCTTGTTTTGTAAAATTTTGCAAAGAATAACCTTATTTGCCACAATACCATCTTCAGGTTATGATAAAATTCAATATAAATATTGTAGAAAATAAATCAGGGAGATTAGTTTTGGATATTTAAATAATGGATGAGTGTTATATAATCCTCCTGGTAGGCTCAGCTGATTTAGGAGATCAGCTAATGAAACTGAATCACAGGTTTCAACACAAATGAGCAGGCTACTTGGGGGCTGCTTGAAGGTAATATACATTATATCTTATTGTTGTTCTATAGACAGCTTTGTAGGAAGTATGTCAAAAGAATCTGTTTTATGTTAATGAATGTCTTTTCCATTTAAAATGTGAGGACTCATTGCTGGTCACAAAATGATAGTGCTATGTTCTTTCCTCTAAGTCAGGAAATTATACAGGGTGTACAAGGGTCTTAAATGGTTCTGTTAGTGGCCCTGCTTTATATGAGTTCTGGGTGAGCCACTGTCTTGGGCACACAAGGAAATCTCATTTAAATAGTATACAGAACAAAGAGAATTATCAGAGCACATGTTTTACATTCTAAATGTTTTATTCTTTCTTGTAACATCAACTAGTGGGATACTATAAAAAAAAATTATGCTAGATTATCTAACACAATTAAAGAACAAAGGATTGAAGTTTGGCTTGAGGAAACCAAATTTTACTTCCAAAACAGGAGGACAGAGAAGGTAGTCATTGTTGGAATGCATGCGAGTGATTTTAGAAAAAGCAAGAGTGAACACTGCTTAGGTTAGAACCAGGATCTTTGCAGTTTTCATGCATCACACTCCATTTTACCGGGATCTATGCTTGTAGATCACAGGGCCATTTTGCCGTTTCTTTGGTGGCCAGACAAGGGGTAACCTGCATTTAATGCACAGTTAGACAGATACATGGACAAATGCAAGTGAAAAGAAGTGAAAATAATAACTTAGAAAAGGGGAGAATGAGATCAAGAACACTCAGTTTCTAATGTATGGAAAGCAGAAGAGAAACAAATGTTGTCTGCTATTCTAAGGAAGATCTGAAAATAATCGGTATAGAGATGGTGCTGCAGTTCCATTTAGAACACAGATCTAGGCTTGGCCTGAAGTTGTCTGTAAAAAATACTTCCGCAACCGGCAGAGGGAGCGACTTACGCTGAGGCGGACTGCGAGGGCTTCATGGAGGCTGACCCACAGTCACCCGCATTGTGGGGCAACTTGGGGGACGCTGGAAGGGACGAATCAGTAAGCTCTTCAATGTCCGAATGTGAGGATGGAGGCTTGGTGGACTTTTTCTTCCCAAAGGCTTGTTTGAATGAGCTTCTCAGCTGCAAGAAGGACAGAAATTACCTTCCTTGTCTATTTGCACTGGGGGCATCTTGCTTTGGGCCGTTAGTTTGCAGGTGCCATCCTAGCCACTGCCTGGGGTCAGTATGTATAAGCAAAGGATTAACAGCTGCAGCACAGTATCTCTAAAAAAAAAAAGATACCGTGTTTTGTGTTTTTGTTTTATTCTTGTATTAATCCAGCGCAGCGCAAACATGGAAGGCTTTTAAACAGTGCAGGGTCAAGGGCATGGCTGTCAGAGCACTCATTTAAAACGAAGTACCTTGAAGGGATCTCCGTTCAGAAGGCTCCTCTCTTCAAGGCAATTTGTTTTAAATGGCTGCTTTAGCGCTACAATCAAGTCAGGGCCTGCTGACAATATAAACTTAAAAAGCAAAATGAAATCAAATTCACCTAACACTTCATTAATTGTGAGTTTCTATTCAAATTTTCAGTTCCTGGACTATGAGAAACCAGAGTTGGTATGCCCTACAGCGCTATTCAGAAAGTAGTTTTACTTCTCTTTAAAACTGGAGATTAAAATGAAAAGACACAAAGAAAAGACATACAAGGTAATCTGTTTTTAAAAGGTATAAAAGCCTCCTGCCAAAATGAATAGCATTCATGCCAGGGGTGGGTATTTTTATAGATGCATGCCAAATTGTCCATGGTTTATATTCACCTCACTTCCTCTAGAGTTCACCTTGCAGAAACATGAAAGA